GTCAACAGCATATAAAGAGAATCTTTATAAAATGTTTTATAGATGGCACTATTCACCTGCAAGAATAGCGAATATGTATAAAAATAATCTGTTAAATGTTGGAAATGTAACAAAACACCAGATTCATATTATCATTTGCGGTGGATGTGTCCCAAAGCAAAAAAATATTGGAAGAAAATTCACATAGGGCTGGAAATTTTGACAAAACAACACATAGACTTGAAACCTGAGACATTCCTGTTGGACATGCTACCAGAAAACTATAATAAAGGTAATACATATTTAATTTTACATATTCTAACAGCAGCCAGTATTGCATATGCACAATACTGGAAAAATGAAGTAACCCCTACAGATGATAATATAATCAAAAAGATTCTAGAATGTGCAGAAATTGATAGGTTAACTCTAATTTTTAAAGAAAAAAAAGATTCAGAATATTTTATAACATGTGTTAGTACATCTAACAGAGGTTAGATGAGTGGATTTATGTGAAAATATGGACTACATGGGAAAGAAAAACTGACTAGTAAATATTTTGATGGTTATATAACTGATGTCAATATGGAAGATAGTATAGTTTCTAATAACGATTGATACTACCTTATATATATTTGTATGTACATGATTATAATGATTGTGATAATGTTCATATTTGGACACCTAGAAAACAAACTGTTCAATATAGAAATGGAATTTGTGATACAAACAATAAAAATATTTATTTTTAAAAAGGCAGATTCCACCTATTCTATTCCTGAATATTTGGTTTTTCTTGCCTAAGTGTACCTTACTTTTCTCACCATTGAATTTCCTTTTGATAAATAGGGCCCAGTGTTTATTGAGAATCTTGAGCCTATCATCTAGGATGTTGGCTATTCCTGCCAGCTTAATGTCATCTGCAAATTTCCCCTTCTATTCCTTCATCTAAATTGTTTATGAAGATATTGAAGAATAGTAGGCCTAATACCGAACCTTGTGATATCCTACTGCAATACTTTTCTTCATGTAGATATAGTTCTATTATGGACTACATGTTGAGTGCAGTCTGTCAGCTAGTTATGAATCCATCTGATGGTGGTGTTGTCTATCCCACATTTTTCTAACTTACTAAGAAGTAGGTTGTGGTCTACTTTGTAAAATGCCTTACTGAAATCCTAGTATACTTTGTCCAAAGCATTTTGCTGGTTCACTAATTAGTCACTTTGTTGAAGGATGAAATCAGATTTGTTTCACATTACCTTTTCCTTTCTTTTTTTTGACAAGCCATGTTGGCTTCTAGTTATAGCTTTGCTTGCTTCCAGGTGTTCCCAGATCTGTTGCTTGATTATCTTTTCTAAGGTCTTCCCAGGTATTGATGTTAGGCTGATAGGTCTGTTGATTCCTGGATCCACCCCCCACACTGCCCTTTCTTTGAACCACATCAACTCTTTTCTAATCCTCTGGTAATTATCCAGCACTCTCTGATCTCTGAAAGACATGGTTCAATGGTTCTGAGATAATATCTGCCAGCTCCTTCAGAACTCTGGGATGTCATCCATCTGGTCCTGGTGATCTGAACTCATCTAGGGTCGGCAGGTATAATTGTACTATTTTCTTGACTGTTTTAATTTGTATTCCTAACTTTTCTTTTATGGTTCTGTTTTTGGTAGGTTGGGCTATTTTTCCCCTTTTGCATGAAGACAGATGCAAAGAATTAATTAAAAAGCTGTTTTCACCCTGCTGCTTATCATTTCCTTGCCTTCTTACCCCTTTAGCAGACGATTGTTTCATTTACTTCTTTTTTTTACATGTTGAAAGAAACTTTAATTAGTTTTGACATTTGTGCACATCTTAGTTCATTCTGAGCTTTATCTTTCCTGATTTCATCTTTGCAAGTTCAGGCTACTTGTTGGTATTCTGCTTTAATCTTTCTATTTTTGTACTTATTCTTTTGTCTTTGAGTTTATTAGAGAGTTCTTTATGTGACCATGCTGGTTTCTTCTTGAATTTCTTGTTTTTCTTTTTCAGTGGTATTGAGCTAGACTGGCCTTTTATAATCACTTTTTTCAGAGTTTTCCAAGCTTCTTGAGTTGTTTTCTCCTTTAAGATTTTCATCTATGGAATCCTTCCCAAACTCTAGGTTTGTTGAAATCAGCTCTTTTAAAATAAAAGGCATTAGTTTGATTTTGTTCTGTTGCTTGTGTCTGGATTTATATTGAATTCCAGTATTTCATGGTCACTTTCCCACAAAGTTCATGCAACTTCAACCTCCACTATCATTTCATCTTTATTAGTAAGAATTAAGTCCAGTATAGCTGACCCTCTAGTTCTTTCCTCTTTTCGATGACAAAGTTGTCAGTTAGGGTAATCTTATTTTAGCATAATGGTAAAATTGCTTTACCATTATGAGATTAATTACCCTCTAACATAGAATAATATTTCTTCTTCTATCAATGTGCTATATGTGTGTATATATACTGCATATGCATTAAGTGCATGTAGTAATTATTGTAGTCTTCATAAAGTTAACAAGGGGCTTTTCATGGAATCGTAGAATCCAAGGGCTGGTATTCTAGTCCAACCCTAAAATTTACAGTTGACCCTGCATTTGCTTCCTATGTTTCCTGTTTTTCTTCTTTTTCATCACTCTCAGACTCATTGTCTGATTTGTTGTGTTGGGGTTTATGCTTTGGGTTTGGTCCTATAAATTGATCTGTTTTCCTCTCCTGTTTGTTGGAACTTAGTTGACAATGTATCATGGCTAGTACAACCATGAAGCTCTTGTATTTTCAGATCCTTCACTTCCTCTTTAAATTTCCACTAAGTAGACATAATCAGCGTTGCATCTTTTTCTTCTTTGTGTCTTGAATTACTAAATTTCTTTGTGTTTTGAATTACCTTTGTCCCTTCAACAATCTGAGATTGTCTAGGCTGGGTGTTGGCAACCCGCGGATCCAGAGCCACATATGGGTCTTTTACCCCTCTACTGTGGCTCACTGCCAACCTGGTATGCGACTGCTCTCCACCCCAAGACACTGGCCCAACCCAGCTGTGGCCAATGCCAACCTCGCTACCACAAGGGCTAGCAGGGTGGGAATGGGATCTGGGAGGAGGATATGATGGAAAGGGGGACAGCCCCAGAACTGAGGAGTGAGTACAAGTGGCTTCCCCAAAGATGACCCTCCTTCTCACAAACCCTCTGGCTGGCTGTTGTGGGGATGGGAGGGCACGTGCGAGTGGGGATGCTTCCTTAAGCAAGCAGCCAGGAGAGTGCGACTGCTTCCTTAAGCAAGCAGCCAGGCTTGGCCAAAGCGCAGCAAAATTGCACGGAATGGGCAGGCTGACTGGCTGATGGGCGGGTGTCTTTGGCAAGGGCACTCTAGCTTTCTCCGAGCCTAATCCCCAGGGTGGCTGGATGTGGTTCAGCAGAGTCAGCCCCTTTTCCCACTGCCCTGAGCTTCTTTATTCCTCTAGATGAGTGAAAGTCCCCCATGCAAGATTTAAAGCCACCCAGTGGACACTTTTCAATGAAATCCGCCGCAGCACTGCTCAGCTGGAGGAATAAAGAAACTCAGGGCAGTGAGAAAAGGGGGCTGGCTCCACAAAAGCTCGCGTGTCCACCCTGGGGATCAGGCTTGGAAAAAGCCAGAGCACCCTCGCCAAAGATGCTCACCTGTCAGCCAGTCAATCCGCCCACTCTGTGTGCCTTCACTGCTCTTTGGCTCAGCCTGGCCACTCATTTGAGGAGGGTATCCCCACTCATGTGTGAGAGAGGCCCTATTTACTTGCTAACCAATTTTTTCTAAATTCCCTGTGAAGTCAACTTGCTTCTCCTTGATGGAGTATCTATATGTAAAAAATGTTGTTCTCTCCTCCCAGCTATTTTTCAGGTTTATATTATCAACCACAAGAATAGACTCTATTTCTAGAGATCACATCTCATGATGGCAGATAATCTATTCATTCTTCATTTTGTCAACCTAAAGTGATAATGATTTTTGTTACTGACCAAGCAGATTTAAAAACTTCATATACTTTGGCCAAGTTATAAGAGTCCCGATTGATTTATAGTGAAACTACTTGATTTAAAATGCTTCTTCTAAAAATGTGTAATAGAATATCAAGGGTTGTATATGTGGCATAACTTTAAGTAAGGACTGTTTTGGTTATTTTTGAAAAAGTGGTTGAAACTAAGAATAAGAAATTATATTTAGATTTATGGACCTTGACTGTGATTTCACCATCAATTGTAATATATTACTATACTGTACCTTGTTCAGCTCAGTTCTATTCCATTTTGCTTTACCTTAATGATTAATTTTTTGTGCTGGTCATAATAAAGATTGTTTGAATGAATGAATGTTTTAGATTTATGTAGAACAATAAACAAAGCTATTATCTATTGTTAAATCAAGTAACTTTCACATAGGTCAAGAGATTTCTTTTCGTGGATATCAGAAATGAAAGACTTTGTGTTATTAATATTTTTTATGCACAAGCTTCTCTGAAACATTTAAACCAAATAGCAAAATATACATATATTAAATTAAACAGACAAAATAGTGGCTTAAATATATATTTAGCTTGTTCATCAGACTTTGTACATGTTCCGTACATTTATGTAGAGATGTTGGCTTTTTTTTTAAATGTCATCCTTATCCAAGAGAAAATTTAGCTGAATTTAAACATTTCTGTAATTCATTTATTTCACGGGGAAAATTAAAGATATTCTTAAATTTTCTTTCACTTCACTCTCTTTTCTCTTAGAACATGCCTCATTTTGCAACTTATTTTGTTTTAGCCTATATTACATTGATTTTCCATTGCTCTATTTAATTCAGTCAAAGACAAATGTGCAATTTTACCATCTGTCAAAAGAAAGAAAGAAATCTCTTTCTGTTTATAAATTTAAATATTTACTTGATATTGAGGAAAGCACTCTTTTTGGATACAGAATACTGCATGAAAATACCTACCCTACTTATTACAGCACAAACTGTTACATATGTTTAAGATTCTCAGAGCCTTTCAGCATAGAATGACATTCCCAAATGGTTAAATTCCAGCTGGTATTGCAGGTGTTCAATACTTAGGAGATGCTTTAAAGCTGCCCGTCGAAGCTGTAAAAAAGAATATGAACAATTCATCCCTGTTACTAATTTTTTAAAACTGTTAAATCATTTATTGCCTACTATTCTTTTCTCCTGTTATCTCAATATTCTTTGCTTTTTATGACAGACATAACAAGTTCAACTTATAGTAGAGTTTGGTTATATTTGTATCTAACTCCAAGCAGAAATAAATAAAATCCACCCCATTCTTTTAGACCTATGGATTTACTATCCTTAGTTCTCATTGTACTTTTCCAGTTAAAATTTGTATATCATTTGAGGATTCTTCTGGTCTTGGCCCCTTAATATGCAGAAAATGGCTGTCACCAAGATAAATAATTATTGCACACATCTAATCATTGCACATGTCTATCTTATGTCTATTATGTTCTTCACTGGATTGGGAAATCCTTCTCATGATCATTCTTGTCCCAGTGATCTCCCACTTGAGCTACTGAATTTTCTTTGCATGGAGTTCTTGAAGGTCATGTAGAAACTAAATTGGTCCAAAATATCACTATACAAACACTCGTTAGTGCCCACATAATATATCTGTTCTATAAGATCACTGGTTATCAGAAGGGCTCCAGCTACAATTAAATGTAATAGTTCTCCTGTAAAATCCTATATGCATTATAACTTGGTAATATTCAGAACCATTTTTCTCCCTAATTTCTGTCTGACTTGTAAGAGTTGGTAGAGCTGATACAATCCAACTCCAGCTATAAAACATTGTCATTTCAGGGCAAGGATGTCAAACTCACGTTGTCACCGCAGCATCACGTGATGTATCAAGACATTTTTTCCTCTTTGCTAAACTGGGTATGGGCATGGTCAGTATGTGATGCATCTGGTCCGTGGGCTGGGAGTTTGACAGCCCTGCTCTAGGGAATGTAGGAGATACACTTCTGTAGGTAAACATGCCTCAGAGTTCACAATGTATGTATGGGAGGGTGAACTGGCTGTGACATCTGTCACCCCATTGATTTCCAGGATTGATTTGGCTGATTTGGCTGGCTAGGTGGGTTTCCCTTACCACTCCATGTGCATCCCTCCTGAAGCTGTGTGCTCTGTGGAAGGAGACAGCCATCCCAGATAGAAGAAGAATACCAGTATTTAGTCAAGGGTGTATGATAGCTCACAATGTACAGAGATTTCCACTTCAAGTCCAACACCTACAGATTTTACACTAGATAGAGAGTATTTGGGGTATGTTGGGTGTCAAATCCACTGTTGTGGATAAAACCCAGAACATCCAGGAATACTTAAGTAAGATGGCAGCCAGTGATGACCTCTGGATAGAATTCTTGAGTCAGAAACAACTGTAGGAGAAAGATTAAGCAGAGGAAGCACCAGGGCAAGTTAAGATCCTGCATGGGATGTACGATTGACAGATAACTGAGGTGGCAGACATTAGGAAATCCTACCAGTGGATAAAAAGGCCTGGAGTGAAAAACAGCATTAAGGCTTTAAATCCTAGCAGCCTAAGAATCCATAGAAGCAGGAGTCTCTACAATGGTCTCTGGGTGTTGGGCTTGCAGACTAGAAAAGAGATTTTTAGACAGAGTCCAACATATAGTGGCAGTTTATAAGATGCTGGCAGAAACAGCATACACTGAACTGTGCAACCAAATACAGACATTGTGCATAGAACATGCACTAGATTTTTCTATGTCTAGATTGGAGATATATAAGGTTGTGGAAAATAAGAGGGCTAAGATTCTCTGGGATTTCCAGACAGGCAGGTACTGACTAATCAACCAGACATTGTGGTGGTAGACAACGTCTAGAAGACAGTGGTGGTAATAGATGTAGTGGTGCCAAGTGACATCAACATCAGGGGAAACAATATGAGAAACTAGAGAGGTGCCAGGGCCTAACTTGGAAAATATATGGAAAATTAGGAGCACTCATGGCTGTGACACCTCAAGTCCCAGGAACAACATCAAAGCTGTCAGTCCAGAAGAGCAGTGCTAGGAACAGTTAGGATCCTGCACAGAACTCTCAAACCCCCAGGCTTCTGGTATAGGAGCCAAAATTGAGAAAGAACAGACAAGGGTCAGAAGGGAATTTTATATCTCTGTCTCTACCTCTATCATCTCTAGCTCTCTGTCTCTCTCTTTATATGTCTGTCTCTGTCTCTCATCTTCAAAATGCAAGTGTAGAAAAGAATCATTTTAAATGAGAAATCATTTTTTTCATTTCATCAGCCAACTCTCCAAGTCAGAAAATCATTTAAAAGCAGTTTATTAGTACCCTAGTAAAGTGGGATCTCTCTATGAAAAGGGAGAGGGCCATTTTACATTCCTTTTTATAGCTAACACAACAACAAAAATTCAAGAGGAAAGTTGGACAGGATAAAACTAACTCTCCTTTGCCAAGTAAATCAACTACAAAAGGTAGTTGATATTAAGAAACGTTTTCTTATCAGAAGGTAGTCTCCAGCCATCTTTCTGTAACTTATCTTTTTAGTTTAGAAATGTACAGCAGTAAAAATAAAAGTTTTCCTACATGCCAGTCTATAATGAACCTGAACATAACTTCAAAAAAGATAAAAATATAATATTGGCATAACTAACATTAAAAGGGGATAAGTACTGTGTAACATAAACCAATATGAATTTATGATTATTGAATTATATAATTTGTTAAATTCTGCAAATATGACTATTAAGAGAATATGCATATCAAAAGAAATAATATTAAGAATATAGAGATTGACATAAAGTAGAATATGAGAATATTGAATAATGAAAATTGATAATACATAGTAATACTAAATTAGATAAGAAGATTAATAGTAGGAATATGAAACTATGGTCATGTTTGTTCCAAAATGTTAAATGACCAGGACACTGTTAAATGAACAGTGACACTGTTCACACAACGATGTATTTATAGAAATAAAAAATGTATTTAACTTCAAAAGAAAGAAAATAAGTCAAATTAAAACACAGAGTTACTATGTTATTTAACAAGTTACAAAATCTCTGTCATGTGCCCCTCATAATTAATATAAGGCCCTTATCGTCAGTGCCTTACTCAATATGTAAAAAGTTACTAGCCCAAACTCCAGAAGAAGTGTTTGTGTGTATGTAGTAATGTGATAAATATTTTTTCTTTTCCTCAACTAATAAGTTTTCCTAGCTAAGAAAGAGACTTTTTGGTTGTTTTTTAATTAATAGGTTCTGCTACTTTATCATTTCTGCAGTCATTTGAGACAAAAGAGTTACTCAGATCATATTTTTGAACAAGCACTTTATTACATATCAGACAAAGCTAAGTCATCATGCTACTTCAATAAAAATAAAACCTGTGAACTTAGAAGCTTTTACCCATTTGAGGTATTCTTTCCTATGAAAAATGGTGAATGAACTGTTGGAATTAGCCTATAAGAAAGAAAAGCGTTTCAGCCTAAACCCAAAAGAACACGTGGGGCAACATGAGAAAAGAATAATTCTTCTAGTTTTTCTTCTCTCTCTCTCCCTCTTTCTCTCTCTCTCTCTCTCTCTCTCTAAGGATCCTAAAAGGATTTTCACAACTACATCAATTAATATTTTCTAAAAGTTTTCAGACTTTACCATCATCAGCTGTTTATTAGCATAGTGCATTTCTTCTTTCATTTCTGTTTGGTGCCTCTTCCTGCTTCTTGCAAAACACCTGTCTTCCTGTGATTTCAGCTCCAGGCACATGTCTCGTTCACGTTTCCATCTAGTGAATAGGTGTGATGTGGAACATCAATAGTGTAACACATTTTGATAGAATAATTCATCAAACAGAACTTCTAAAGTTCTGTTTTTTACAAGAAGTTACATTGTAATCACAATTCCTCTTTCAAAGAGGAAATGTCCATATATGAGCCATTTGTCTATTTACAAATGTCCATTTGTAATTCCATCTGACCAAGTTACTTTTTAAAAAGTATTGAGTTAAAGAAAGTATATTTTAATAAAACTTAATAATAACTTAGTAAAAATGTTGTGCAATGTTTCACAGTTAACAGAAAAATGTGCTTTGGAAAGCACAAGATAGTTAAGTAGCACCAGTCAATAACTACTTAAGATAGCTGACCTTTGCCTGAGGTATAATCAAAATCATGACTGGTAGGAGAGGAACTGGATTTTAATCCTTTTTATTTCAGTGTATTCTAGATGCTTTCCGTCAAGTTGCTACAACCCCCTCAAAGTATATATTTATGCCACATTTCTGTATGTGTAATTAGCAGTGGTATATCTAAACTCTGTCAAGGACCTTGGAGTACTCATCTCTAATGATCTAAGTGCTAGAGCCCACTGTAACTACATAGCCAAAATGGCCTTAAGAGTTGTTAACATAATCCTGCATAGCTTTTTCTCCAGCAATATCACACTACTAACTAGAGCATACAAAACGTTTGCTAGACCAATACTTGAATACAATTCATCAGTCTGGAACCCGCATTATGTATCTGATATTAATAAAGTTGATAAAGTCCAGGAATATTTCACAACAAGAGTTCTCCACTCCTCTACTCGTTGCAGAATACCTTATGCCACCAGACTTGAAATTTTAGACCTAGACAACCTAGAACTACGCCGCCTTCGGTCTGATCTAAGTATAGTACATAAAATTATATATTGCAATGTCCTACCTGTCAATGAATACTTCAGTTAAACCATAACAATATAAGAGCATACAATAGATATAAGCTCAAGGTAAACCACACCAAACTTGATTGCAGGAAATACAACTTCAGCAACAGAGTGGTCAATGTCTGGAATACTCTACCTGTGGTTTCTTCCCCAAACCCCAAAAACTTTAACCTAGACTGTCTACTACTGACCTCACCCCTTTCCTAAGAGGTCTGTGGGGGCGGGGGCATAAGCACAACAACATGCCTACTGTCCCTGTCCTACTGTTTTTTATATATAAGTATCCATTTCATGTATTCATAACTATGTTTATACTTATACCTGTTAGCTTATATTCACTTGTCAAAATAGAAATAAATAAATAAAAATAAATATATAGCAGCTATTCATAAAGAAACTTCTCATAGAAGCCTTGCCTTTCTCCCTACATTCTTCCTATATTCCAAAAAAGAAAAGAAAAACCCCACGCAGGAGATCTTTTAAGTTCAAGTTAAATAGAAAAAAATTAATATCATATTCTACTTTTAAAAGAGAAAAAAGAACTAATGGATATGATGTGCTCACTTGTGGTCTTAAGTTGAGGACTACCTATATATGGAAGTGAATATAGCATATAATCAGTAATTATGTGCCACTATAAACTGTCTCAAAGCATACTAAAGGAAAGTATATTTAGGAAGCATTTTGTGTTTGATTGTTTATATGCTACTACTTTAGTGAGATTTGAGATTATAAAATTTTATTAATAAATAAAATTACCGCTTACTGTGGTTTAGAACAGCGGTCGCCAACTAGTGGGCTGCAGCTCACTGGTGGGCCACGAGAAAATGTTGATGGGCCACAGCATGCTGAGGCAGGGAGGCGGGGCAATCCTGCAGTCTCCTGTGTTGTGGCTGCTGCCTCCTGCCTCAGCACATCAAGGAGGCCGAGCAGCAGTGGGAAGAGCGCGGACCTCCTGAGCTGCAGGAAGCAGCTACCCTCAGGTGAAGATGTTGCAAGTGGGAGGCTCAACCCCCCTCTTCCTCCTCACCAGAAGTGCTCACATGCTCAGCAGGAAGGAGGCAGCTTGTTGGGGGCCAAAAGGGCAGTGAGTGCTTTGCATGTGAGCGCTTCTGTCAAGGAGGAAGAGAAGCTCCTGGGGGGCACAGGAGTTCATGCCCTCCCCTTGCAGGCCAGGAAATACCTGGGAAGAGCTCTGATGCTGCGATCTCCCACGCCTCTGTGCTCCGAAGCTTCTCTTCCTCCTTGCCAGAAGTACTCACATGCTCAGAGGAAAGGAAGAGGCTTGTCAGGGGCCAGAGGGATGGTAAGCACTTTGCACGTGAGTGCTTCTGTCGAAGAGGAAGAGAAGATTTGGAGGGGGGTCGAGCCTCCCACTTGAAACATCTTCCCTTGAGGGCATTGCTGGCAGCCACTCAACCTCCTTGATGCACGGAGGAAAGAGGCAGGAGGTGACACCAATTCAGAAGATCCTTTCCCCTCACCCCCACCCCCTCACAGGCCAGGCCTATGCATCAGCGTCAGTTTCCTTGTCCCTCTGCTGTCCGCACCAAGGCCCCAGCCATTGCTGCCCAGGGAAAACACAATAAAAGCTAGCAGATACACAGCTCTTGCTGGTGTGAAAGAGCTCAGATCGAGGAAGGCACAGGCAAGAGAAGACAGAAGCTGCCGCCTTTGAAAAGTGCTGCTTTCTGTTGCCTGTGCCTTCCGATCTTTGCTCTTTCACCCCAGCTAGAGCTGTTTCTGATTGCTTTCTTTTCCTGGGGGTGCGGGCAGCAGAGATGTCAGAGCTGCTCTCCCCCCTCAGCAAGCCAGGCCTAGAGGAACACAAAGAATTGCAGGTGAGTGCCAGAGAAAGGTATGTTGGAAATGCCAACACACGTTTCCGGCATGCTCTCCTCTGTCCCAAAGTAGGATTGACTGGTGGGAAGGGAGCAGGGAACAGGGTAGGAGGGAAGGAGAAGCCCAGCTGGTTTTACTTTGGCATGGAGAGGGTAGAGGCCAAATGCACAGACCAAAAGAGTGCCGAGGAAGACTTTTGCTAGTAACCAGCCTGTTTGTGCAGGTGAGAGCTCAAGCTTTTCTGGGCTCGACACCCCCACTTCGGGCTCCACACAGGGAGGGATCCTTCTCTGCTTGGAAGCAGCAATAGAAACCTGGAGCTTAGCCTCAGGGAGTCCTCTTCTTATGTGGAGGCCGAAGGGAGTGGGGGGTTTGCCTGTTTTTTAGGAGCCTGTTTTTGTTGGCACTTCAAGCCCGGCCCTCCTTCCCTACCCCAATTCCAGGCAGCCACACCTGGCAAAGAAAGGAGAGGTTTCCTCTGTCTTGGGGGAGATATGAGATGTCTCTGCTTTTCTTCTATTTGAAGGGGAGCTGGTTCCTTCCCGTCCAGATCTTCCCAGCCTCCAGGCACCATGTGGCTTCTTAAATCCTCCCTCTTTCCCCACCCCAAAGGATAAGAGAGGCCCCTCTTTTCCCTTTGCTCTGCCCCATGGTTATGATTAAGCATTTACAATTTTGTTATAATTAAATAAGCATTTATATATATGTGTGTTTTCTTAAGTTTTCACGGATATTTATATGTATGGTATTCAGATTAGTTTGGGTATTTTCCCACGTCATTATAGTTGTGCTTTTAAAGTTGTAGCAACGTTTCGGCAGAAACTCATCTGCCATCATCAGGCTTCTGTATTGTGTTCATCTGTGAGTCAGACTTTCACAGCCGTTTCAGTTTTAAATTTGGGGCTAGCCTACTGCTGTGCCAGAATGGTTTTTTCTTCATCCTGATTGGTTGGGAGTCTTGATCTGTGTTTACTGGTCTTGGAGCTTGCTGTGTTCTGCTTGATTGGTGTTTCTAATATCTTCTGTCTGTTTTGTAGCTTTTTTTGTCTTGATTGGCTGGCAACATTGTGTTTCCTGTATTGGAGACTTTTAGTGTGGCTTGGCTCCGAGTAAACAGACAGCTATCATTTATTAGGAAGCTAGGTTTCATCTGGGTGCCTGGTTGGGGTGTGTTTGAGCTGGAGGTATCAGTGGGGAGTTCAAATAATAACCAATAAACCAATAAACACAGACCAAGACTCCCAACCAATCAGGATAAAAAAAAAACACCATTCTAACACAGCAGTAGGCTAGCACCAAATTTAAAACAGAATTGGCTATGAAAGCCTGACTCACAGACGAACACAATACACAAGCCTGATGATGGCAGATGAGATTCTGCTGAAATGTCACTACAACTTTAAAAGCACAACTATAATGATGTGGGAAAATACCTGAACAGAGTTGAATACCATAGATAGATAGATAGATAGATAGATAGATAGATAGATAGAGCAGTAGAGGTAGAAGTAGAGATATATAGATATATATAATATACAGTATAATATCTATATATCTATCTATCTCTATCTCTATCTATCTATCTATCTATCCGAACACAATACAGAAGCCTATCTTTCTCTCTCTCTCTCTCTCTCTCTCTCTCTCTCTCTCTCTCTCTCTCTCTCTCTCT